CCCTGACTACTCAAAGTGTGGCTCTTTGACCAGCAGTGGCAGCTTCACCTGAGAGTGTGCTAGAAATGAGGACTCTCAAGCTCTTACTTCAGACCTAGTAATTCAAAATCTGTATTCCTCACATTAATTTTTATTGGAGTATAGCTGTGGAGTATAGTCTACGATTTTGTATTAGCTTCTGCTATACAGCAGAATGAATCAGTGATACATGCATCTTCTCTCTCCCATTTAGGTTCACTGCAGACCATTGAGTAGAGTTCCCTTTGCTACAGAGTAGGTTTTCATTAGTGATCCATTTTACACATAGTAGTGTATATATGTCAATCCCAATCTCCCAATTCATCCCATCCCCCTTCCCAGTATTTTAACAAAATTCTCAGGCAGTTAAAGTGTAGGAATACTGCTCTAACCATCTTCTCTCTCTCTTTCTCTCTCCAGGTCCTTGTAAAATCCACTATTAATGTACAAACCCAGAGGTGTGACTTCTAACACTTTAACTCTAGCCACAAACTTTCATGTAAATTTCATTCTCATAATGCCAGTCGGCCACTTGGCATTTCTGTTACTGTTCATCATAACCACAAACCCATCATTTCTATAATCTCTATCCCAAACAGGGCTTCCTAGGTGGGCTAGTGGTAAAGAACCCACCTGCCAATGCAGGAACATAAGAGACTTGGGTTTGATCCCTGGGTCTGGAAGATCCCCTGGAGGATGGCATGGCAACCCACTCCTCTATTCTTGCCTGGAGAATCCCATGGAGAGAGGAGCCTGGTGGGCTACAGTCCATGGAGTCGCAAAGAGTTGGACATGACTGAAGTGACTTAGCCCACACACACACGTTCCAAACAATCTCTCTTCCTAACAGACTGATTCTTTAAAATCACTACCACGCTTACCATTACCTAGGCACAAACTACTGGAGTCATCCTCATTTCTTGCTTATATCGTCTTAATCCCCTGTATCTCATTAGACATCAAGTTTCAATATTTATTTTGCAGGATCTCATTTACACATCCTTTTACTAGATTGCCCACTTCAGCAAAGCATGGAAGAAAGACCTGGAGACAGAGAACGGCTGTCAAATTCCTGTTCTACTACCCCTCAGCTGTGTGTGACCTTAAAACCTTAAGTAACTTACCTAAATTCTCAAAGCCTCAATTTCCCTTTCTGCAAACTGTAAATATCATTATCTATCTTGCAGGCACTGTTGTGATTAAAAAAAAAAAAAGGATCAGGTCAGAGTCTGACACATGAAACGCATTAGATGATTAACAAGTGTTAGTTTAGGCTTCCTCAATCCCCATTTCCATTTTAAGGCCACTGTTTTGGAGATTCGTAATACAGATTAATCTATCTAACATGTCATTGTCAAATTACGTGGCTAAAACCTCATATTCACCAACCCGCCACCCTGTTCAGGGCCAACAGTGACTGAAAATGCCTTTGCATGAATCCCAAGTGGCTTAGGCAGCCTTACTGGTCTTGCCACACCCTATTTCCAGCCAAATATTCTGGTCTTGTCACCCACTCTTCCCCTATTCATAGTCTCTGGGTTAGATAAACTCTAAGATGACCATATCTTACAGATCTTAGCTTTGGTCCTTTCTGCCATGGTACTGTGATATCCTGAATGTTTATCTTCTAACTTATTTCCCCATCTAATTCCAATTAATTCTTCAATAACCAGTTCAAATCTCAGTGTCTGTGTAAGTCATTTGGCAGTTAATGATAACTTTCTGTTTTTTTTTGGCCATGCCCTACAACATGCAGGATCTTAAGTCCCTGGCCCAAGGGATCAAATCCTTGCTTCTAGCAGTGGAAGCATGGAGCACTAACCACTGGACCACCAGGGGATTCCTAACTGTGAGTTTCTATGTGATATTTCTTCTTCTGTTTCCTGGAACTATTTTAAATACGAACACTACAGTGGGACTATTCATGGATATATTTTTTCACTTCTCAGTAAGATCATTTTTTAAAACCTAACAATTAATATTTATAAGCATTTACATATGCCAAGGCAACGAGCAAAGTACTATGCATGGACTTCCTCATCTAACCTATACGGTATCTCTATGAGGGGAGAACTATTATGATCCCTGGTCTGTGGATGAGGGAGAATGAAGATTCTCAGTAATTTATGCCAAGTTGTCCTGTGAATAAGATGCAGCACCATCTTGAATCTAGGCTTTCTCATTCCAGCTCTTGTGCTATATTGAATTGTGCTATATTAACCCTTCTGCTATACTGAAACCAAGGAAGGAAGCACTTACAACAACTATCCCTATTTCTTACCTGATAGACCCGCATTTCAGATAATATAAAACTTACTTTTTAGAACCGTGTGAGATAACTCATGTGTGTATGTGTGAATCTGTATAACAATATGCCACATTATTTTGAAGTTCTACTATAGTATCTTGGCATTTACAAAGCATTTCTTTTCCCAAAACTTTAAATGATTATGTTAACCTTAAAATAACTCTGTGAGGTAAGGAAAGAAAAAGAATTATCTTAACATCAATGCCTCCTTCCCCTGACTTGCTCATGTGCCTCTTTTAGAACCCAAGTCCTCAAGTCTATCTGGCTACCCCCAGATGCCTGACTTTCCTCAGGGTCATGGCCATTTTGTTTAGGCTTCAATAAGCAAAAGGCAAAGGCCTGAGGCTAGCAGGAAATATAATCAATAAAGTCCAAATCTCTGACTGTGTTATCAATTTTAAGCAGATTATCTTAGAGCAGAGTATGGTTAATAGGATCAGGTAACTAGCACATTCTAAGTTTATAGTCCTAAAAATTAAAAGATATAAACCTATGAGTTGCTCTTCTGACTTGAAATTCCTATGATTGGTGATAATGATGAAGGTATTGAAAATAATGGTAAAGGAAAAGATGGAAAGAAGATGGGACAGGTCCCACCATGCATCTGTATAGAGCAACGGTTCTTAACCTTTCTTGGGGCTTGCTCTTTAAAATCTAAGGGAAGCATCACACACACAGAGACGCACAACGAAAAAGACTCATTTATTTTGGACAGTGGAAGTGTCATGGTCTAGCCAAGGATCCATATTGAGAATAATAGACAGATGCCATACAGGTCACAAAGCATCAGCACTTTGCAATGACAGACACCAGCAAATGCAGACTCAAACCCCTGCTTTCACTGTGCCCCAAATCTCCAAATTGCTGACACCTGTTGAGGGCCTCCTGTACTCATGGGCACTATGTCTAGAGTTGGGAACAGAAATACCAAGATGTTGTTCAGTCGCTAAATCGTGTCCAACTCTTTGTGACCCCATGGACTGCAGCACCCCAGGCTTCCCTATCCTTCACGATCTCCCAGAGTTTGCTCAAATTCATGTCCATTGAGTTGATGATGCCATCCAACCATCTCATCCTTTGCCACCCCCTTCTCCTCCTGCCTTCAATCTTTCCCAGCATCAGGGTCTAATCCAATGAGTCAGTTCTTCACATCAGTGGCCAAAGTATTGGAGCTTCAACTTCAGCATCAGTCCCTCCAATGAATATTCAGGGTTGATTTCCTTTAGGATAGATTGGTTTGATCTCCTTGCAGCTCAAGTGACTCTCAAGAGGTTTCTCTACTACCACAATTCAAAAGCATCAATTTTTGGGTGCTCAGCCTTCTTTATGAGTATAACCCAATTAGTATCCTGAAAGTGAAGTTGCTTAGTTGTGTCTGACTCTTTGCGACCCCATGGACTGTAGCCTACCAGGATCCTCAGTCCATCGGACTTTCCAGGCAAGAATACCAGAGTGGGTTGCCATTTCTAGAGAAGCCTAAAATCCAGTGCCAAGAATGTGAAGACTATACTCTCCTAAGCTTATCTAGCAATTATTTTTGCAAACACCTGAGCATCAATCTTCCAGAAACAAAAAAAGAAAAGGAAGTTTAAAGTCAACTAGGATCCTAAGCTAAATGATTACAATGTAGAATCCACTCTAGTAAGTGTCAAGAGAGAAGTACCCACCCAGAACTGTGGGAGTTTAGTGGGGCTGTGATTCCACACGAGAGGAAGAGAGGAGGTAGGAAAGCTGGTCTCTAGGCAAAAATATGGAGGGGAGGGCATCGCAAATGGTGAGGGCAGCTTGAGAGAAGTATAGCAAATGGGATATTGCTATGGGTTGATTTGCGCTCCCACAAAAGATAACTCCACCACTTCAGAAGGTGACCTTATTTGGAAACAGTACCTTTGCAGATAATCAAGTTAAGATGAGATCATTAATACTGTCAATCAATTATACTTCAGTAAAAACAAAAGATGAAGTTCCTAGGGTAGGCCCTAATCTAATACATCTGCGTTCTTATAACAGGGGAAATTTGGACACACGTACACACACTCAGAATGCCATGTGAACATAAAGACAGTGACTCAGGTGATGCGTCTACAAGGAATGCCCAAGACATTCAGCAAAAATCCAGAAGCTAGGAAATACACACACAGCAGATTTCGTCCTAGTGCCTTTGGAGGGAGCATGGCCCAGGCAACATGTTGATCTCAGATTCCGGGCCTCCAGAACTGTGAGACTATAAATTTCTACTGTTCTAAGTCACCAAGTTTGTCAGACTTTGTTAACCACAGCCCTAGAAACAGGGGTTTTCCCAGAAAAGCAGAGTATAATTTAGCTGGAGCACAAAGCAGGAGTAAGGGCAAAATAGGGACCCAGATCAGCAGGGTAAGAAAACAGTGTTGTGCACTATTTGCAGGTAATCTGATAAAAATGTGACCCCCACCCACCCAATCAAGGGACAATAGTGAGGCTACACTGTGGAAAGAATTTAGCAATTGATGGACAGAGAGCTGAAGACAGACAGATAGATAAATGAAGAGTGAAGATGGATCACAGAACTGGCAGAGGTGGCGACATGGATAAGAGATTTAGATTAAATGACATATCAGTGAATGACAGTGACCTTTCTACTTAAAGTTAAAAATCAATTTATTTATTTTTTGCCAGGTGGCATGTAGGATCTTAGTTCCCCAACCAGGGATTGAACCCGTGCCCCCTACAGTTGGAGTGTAGAGTCTTAACCACTAGACCATTGGGGAAGTCTCCAAAATCAATTTCTAAATGGTGAATTCTATTTCCCACTTTCAAAGCAATGCCACATAGGTTTGGGGAAACATAAGTTGTATAACCACAGGAGCTACGCAACTGGGAAAACAGCCCCCAGGAGCTCAGGGAGCCCACACTCAGGCAGACACACTTGGTCCACACTTAGCAACTCTAGGCAACAGGTATGGGGGACCTCCACCTTCAGGGACCGTGCCCCTGGTTAGGTCCCTAGGACCTTTACTGAAATAGCCAGGAGTGACAGAAAGGACTTCATGCCTTAAAAGCAGATCCAGAAGAGCTTTAGGGAGCTAACTAGTGCGGAAGATGACCTTCAAGGCAGATTGCATTTGCTGGTAGGCTGGAAGAACAGAGAAGTTTTCTAAGACGGAAAGGAAAAGTTATTCCAAGCAGAAAGAATCAGTTGAGTGATGGTCTTAGTGGGGACGTATAAGATACATCTGAGAAGGGCAAGGAGTTACTATTGGGAAATAAATGGAGATTGTGTGTGAATGCTTAAGTCGCTTCAGTTGTGACCGACTTTGCAGCCCTATGGACTGTAGCCCACCAGGCTCCTCTGTCTATGGGATTTCCCAGGAAAGAATACTGGAGTGGGTTGCCATGCCTTCCTCCAGGGAATCTTCTCGATCCAGGAGTCAAACCCACATCCTCTTACATCTCCTGCGTTGGTAGGTGGGTTCTTTACCACTAACACCACCTGGGAAGCCCAAATGGAGATTAACTTGGGCCAATGATGAAGGAAGTTCAGGAGTTTGAGTGATAGATGAGTTTGGAAAAATATGAGAGAGGGGACGACTGAAGAGGTAGGGCAGGGGCCTGCAAGCTTTTTCTGTCTAAGACCAGATAGTAAATATTTCTGGCCTTCCAGGACATACAGTTTTTGTTGCAAGTACTCAACTCTGCCATCGCCATGTGAAAGCAGCCACGGACAGTATGTAATGAATGAGCATGGCTGTGTTCCCATAAACTTTATTTATGGACACTGAAATTTGAATTGCATATCATTTTCACACGTTGGGAAAGATGATAGTTCTTTTGATATTTTCCAACCATTTAAAAATAAAGACATTGTTAGCTCCTGAGCTGTCAAAAGGAACAGGTGACGGTCTGGACCACACACGCACATTACAATAGGGGAGACCCATGGGTGAAAGGGTGACTGAAGCAGCTGAACAGTGGTCAGTCAGGGCTGGGATCACCAGAGAAGAATCAAGAAGATGGATGCCAGAGAAATGCAGAGATGTCTTATGCAAATCAGATATTTTGAGACTCATTATATGCAGGAGATAGGAGAGGAGGTGGGGGTCTATGCAGCCCCGGGGTTCTTAGTATGGTGGATGATGGCACCATTAGCAACACTGCAGAGCCCTTGAAAAGAAGCAGGCGTGGGAGAGCTGGTGATGCTTTCGGAACAAACCTGGAAGAGCATCCTGCAGTCCTTAAAGTGTGGCCACACTTGGAATAAGAATTAGAAACCTTTTTAAGCTCTTGACTTTATTTCATCCGACCCGAAGCAAGACTCTTGCCCTTAAATGAGGCCCTTAAGAAATGCAGTACTGGGACGTCCCTGGTGGTCCAGTGGCTAAGACTCTGTGCTCCCAGTACAGGGGGCCCAGGTTCCATCCCTGGTCAGGGAACTAGATCCTACATGCCACAATGATGGCTGAAGATCCCAAGTACCACCACTGAAGACCCAGGGCAGCGAAGCTCGTGACAAAAAAGCCCCACCTGCCAATGCAGGAGGAGCAAGGGACATGGATTATATTCGTCATTCCCCAAGCACACCAGTTAGCTTAGGAGGCAGGAGATATGACTTCTAGACTCTAGACTCTCACCATCATCAATGAATTCAATGCCTTAGGGGCCCTGTTTCCTCTTCTAATGAGAATGAGACTATCTTGCTTGTTTGGAGGAGCACAGAGAAAGATATAATTGGCCGAATGGTTTAACATGGCAACGTGGTAAAGGGAAAAAGCGAAACTTAAGTTTCAGCTCTCGTTCTGCCATCAACCAGGTGTGCATCACACGCGAGTGATGCCACCCCCGAGCTCAGGCTTCCCTCTGTATATAGAGATAATTATACTTCCCTTGAAGGCCTAAGGGTTACAGATACGCATATGAAATGCACAGGGCAGTGACTGACCACAAGCAGCATGAATTAGATCCTAATTCCAAATGTGACGCATAGGTAGTGAAGGCCCTTAAGAAATGCAGTACTGGGACGTCCCTGGTGGTCCAGTGGCTAAGACTCTGTGCTCCCAGTACAGGGGGCCCAGGTTCCATCCCTGGTCAGGGAACTAGATCCTACATGCCAAAATGATGGCTGAAGATCCCAAGTACCACCACTGAAGACCCAGGGCAGCGAAGCTCGTGATAAAAAAGCTCCACCTGCCAATGCAGGAGGAGCAAGGGACATGGATTCTATTCGTCATTCCCCAAGCACACCAGTTAGCTTAGGAGGCAGGAGATATGACTTCTAGACTCTAGACTCTCACCATCGTCAATGAATTCAATGCCGTAGGGGCCCTGTTTCCTCTTCTAATGAGAATGAGACTATCTTGCTTGTTTGGAGGAGCACAGAGAAAGGTATAATTGGCTGAATGGTTTAACATGGCAACGCGGTAAAGGGAAAAAGCGAAACTTAAGTTTCAGCTCTCGTTCTGCCATCAGCCAGGTGTGCATCACACGCGAGCGATGCCACCCCCGAGCTCAGGCTTCCCTCTGCATATAGAGATAATTATACTTCCCTTGAAGGCCTGAGGGTTACAGATACGCATATGAAATGCACAGGGCAGTGACTGACCACAAGCAGCATGAATTAGATCCTAATTCCAAATGTGACGCATAGGTAGTGTGCAATGACACAACCATACATGCCCTAGGAGTAGACAAGGGAGTGAAATGGCATGACATTGGCCTCGAATTCCATTATATTTGGTTGACCAGAAAGTTTGTTGGAGTTTTTACATAAGATGTTATGGAAAAGCGTAACACTTTATGGAAAAAATATAACATTTTAATGAAAAATCCCAACCCAGTAGAATCTCCTAATACTATGAATCCATGAAAACTCCCAGGAAATGAACCAAGCAATGAATGTGAATACAGTTGTATTTTTATCCTATTGGGTGGCCCTTCTCAGTTTTATTATTCCACCTAATTGGCAGGCTCTGGAAGATTTTTCACTGGCAAATATACATCCAGACAGACACAGAGACTTGAGGGGCCCATGGTGTGTGTGTGTGTGTGTGTGTGTGTGTGTGTGTGTGTGTGTGTTTGTATGAATGCATTTTGTCAGCTTGTGTTTTCTCAGTTCCAAAACCACCACCCTTTCATATGGTCACAACAGACCATGTCACGCTGTATGTGACCACCAGGGATCCCAGTGGGAAAGGATCCGCCTGTCAATGCAGGAGACACCAGAGATGCAGACTCAATCCCTATGTTGGGAAGATCCCCTAGAGCAGAAAATGCCAGCCCACTCCAGTATTCTTGCCTGGAGAATCCCATGGACAGAGGAGCCTGGCGGGCTACAGTTCATGGGGTCACAAACAGTCGGACATGATTGAGCACACACACACCCAAGGATCCCAGAGCATTTAAATGTGTGAACTGGTATCAGGCTGGTATCAGTGCATTTTTACCCACTGTAAAGACCTTACTCCTCTCCAAGTATCAAACGTGATCAACTCTGATCATCATCTTAATATCTAGTACTTTTGATAGATATATTTTTTAATACCTAAGGGAAAGATACAAAGTTCAGGTACTTTTCCTACATAAGACTCCTGGGGTCATGCTTTCTCCAGAGATATGCCCTAAGCACTTAAATAAAACTTGTATCCCTTTTTGGACCCTTGTGAAGACCCCAAAGTTCATGTCATCCATGTAATTTGTGCAAGTGACCATAGAATGAGAAGGAGATAATCAGACGGCCTGACTCTAGTGGAGAGGGAAGGTATGTAACCTCTATAGGCTTCAGTTTTTCCATCTGTAAAATGGAAATAAAACTTTTATACCTTATCTCTCACCAGGCCCTTATGAACTTTAAATAAGATAATGTCAGAGTCTTCCTTGAAAGAGTATAGGATTTCTTATCCTCTGCCTTGTTGACATTTGGGGCCAAATAATTCTTGATGTTGGGCATTGTAGGATGCCCACATGTGTACTGTAGGATGTTTGGTATCTTTCTAGTCACTAGAAGCCAGTAGAACACTCCACCCCACTGGGACAACCAAAAATGTCTCCAGACATTCTCAAAGGTCCCATGGGCAGCAGAGTCAGCCAGTCTGGAAACCACTGTTATGGTACATTCTATACCAGTAGAGGGTTTCACCACACCCTGTACTTTAGGAACTGGAGAAATCAGGACCCTTAATGCCAACTAAAATTCTGTCTTCAGCCATGACATATTCTGATGCTCCCCAAAGCCTCGAACCATTAACAGGGCTGTGAATGTCATGGCTGCCTGCTGTGATGCGTGTGCCATGGCTGTGTGCAAGGTGGTCAGGGACATCTGCTGCATGAGCTGTGGGGCAGAGGCCACCGCAGGAGCGGATAGGCAGTGGTGGTGCGTGCCACGGCCGTGGGAGCCAGGCCGGCAAACAACCCACATCATGGTGTTAGGCGTGAACTTTGTACGACTATATGAGTTCATGTTCTGATGCATTTGTTTTAATCTATAAACTCACTGATAACCACCCTTTATTATGACCATATTAAGGAGCTTAATCACTTTTAATTAGAGTCTTTCCAAGATGACCAGAAACAGAAACTAGAGAACCTTCCACAGCCATTACATCAAGCAAGCGCAATACAGATTCCATCGGGGCAATCTCCTGCGCTGCAATCATGCTAATTAAAGGCCCCCAGAAGAGTCAAGATAAAAACGTCAAATGAGATTTGTTCTGGATTTTGATGATTTACGGCCTCACATGATCAAGTTCCAATAAGCCTGGGAAGAAAAGCCTTAGTG